AAATATGGAAGCTATATAATTTATTACATGATGTTAAAAACACTTCAGAATAGGTATTTAGAAAATGAAGATCTCTGTAGGGTTTGTAGGAAGAGTTTCATGAGGTATAAATTGGAACTGTTAACACTGATTTGTTCTGTTGTGATCATTGATTTTTTTTTTTTAACATTGGAGTCTAATAGTTAAAATTTAGTTTGAGTTATTAGAAGACTGGAATAACTTCCTGTTTCTTGTCAGGGTAAGATGATAATGCAAGATAAATTGGAAAAAGAAAGAAATGATGCTAAAAACGCAGTGGAGGAATACGTGTATGAGTTCAGAGACAAGCTTTGTGGACCATATGAAAAATTTATATGTGAGCAGGTATGTTTTAGAGCTGTTTTTATTCATATTGTCTCATGTAAAGTGTTTAATATCAAATTTGACATTTAAACCTCTACTGGATTACATAACTTGAACTTTTTGAAAATAGAAAACAAAGTCATGGAGAAAGAGACTCACTAATGATGAGCAGTGTTATTTTATGGTAGCATACCCCAGTGGCTCTTTGACACGTTCTCTCTTCTGGATGATAAGAACAAACATTTACTTAAGAGTATATGGCATTACAGTTATGGGAGCTACAAAGATAAATAAGAGAAAATCCTTGCTTTCAAAGACATCAAACTTTTTTTATGACACTGCTCCCTTGGTAGCTTTCTGTCATTGTTTTATCCTATTCCGTCATTGTTTTATCCTATAAGACTTGTTCGTCCAGTCATTCCAGAGCTTATCAAGCCCCGTCATTCTCTTAGCCCTTTTCTTGACTCCCACTCAGTATGGGTCTGAGTAAATTCCAGAAGCACAACTATGACAGGTGGGATTTGAGAAAAAAAAATTGGCTAGATACAATCTAGGGTGGTTTGGGGATTAATTCTGAAGTTACAGATCATTTAAACTGAAATTCAGAATCCATTTTAGTCCTAAAATCCTTGGGCTATCTTGTAATGTGGTTCAGTTCTTACCTCTGACCTGAAATTTCCTGGGTTTTGTATGGCTGGGATTCTAAAGTAGGGATGGCTGAATCAAGGCCAGCAGTTTGCTGAAGCTGTTGGTTTCAAACAGGAGCCTAAAGAATTATCTTTCTGTGGTCTGTTGGCCATTTCAGAACTTTGGAAATGTAATGGTCAATTCATTAGAAAAAAACATCTGAGTCATTGGCAATAGATGTAGTCTTAATACCGGGGTTCCCAAATATCCATGAAATATTTATATTTATCTTGAGATCCCTGATTTTAAGTTATTCGTTAGAATTGTAATGTTGTTAAATCTTAATTATAACCCCCCAAAATTACTGTGCGTTTTCAACCAAAATAAAAGGATGATTCTACACTATGAAAAATAAAAATAAAGTAGGAATGGCCCAACCAGGCTAGATTTCCCAAAGCTAGAGTAAAAGTACATACTTTAGATGAATTGGTTAGGAGTGGTTTTTTTCCTGTGTTCAGTGATTGGATTTTTCAACTCGTATAGCTCCCCTTTCAGTATTTGATAGTTGTGGAAGTATAAAAAAGTAAGTAATGAAGACCTAATTGTTTGGGGGAGTAGGAAAATAATTGCTCTTCTATAACAACATTTAAGAGTATAGGTTGTCCAAAATTGGGCTTCTAAGATACAGTATTGCTATTGTAAGTCAATAAGAACAGTTTTCCAAAATCTCCCAGATGTCACCATAACAAGACAGAGAAGCCAAAGAATAACTATTCCTCATGTAAAAATATTGTGTGAAGCTAATAAATAGTAGATCTTAATTGCACCTTGATATTTTTTAGTGAAGAGAATCCAGCTAATCAGAGTGCCTTCTTAGACAAGATTACCTACCTAATGTTTAACGCTTCTGAGAATGCCTCTTCGTGGTGAAAATTTCTGAACTAAGATTGCTGCTAATCTTGTCATATTTCATATTAAGGATCATCAAAATTTTTTGAGACTCCTCACAGAGACTGAAGACTGGCTCTATGAAGAAGGAGAGGACCAAGCTAAACAAGCGTATGTGGATAAACTGCAAGAGCTAATGGTAGGTCCTTTTCTCCCCCTGAAAAGTGGTACCTGCGTTTTAAACTATAGACTTTTAAAATTATGACAGCTATTAATTTACTACATTTTATTTTAGAAAATTGGCACTCCGGTTAAAGTTCGGTTTCAAGAAGCTGAAGAACGGCCAAAGATGTTCGAAGAACTGGGACAGAGGCTGCAGCACTATGCCAAGATAGCTGCTGACTTCAGAAATAAGGTAAGTCAGTCTTTTTGTACATAGTGAGGAAGTTTGCCGATATTTTAATGAGCTAACATTTGAGTTGAGGAATCTTCCTTATGAAGAAATAGTCTGAAGTGAAAAATTGTGGTATTTGAGACTAGAGGTAGATTTGAATTACATGGAAAGTTGGGTCAAATTAGATGTGACTGTTAAATACTTAATTCTGCAGTATGACTGCTTTTTCTGTTTAGGATGAGAAATATAACCACATTGATGAGTCTGAAATGAAAAAGGTTGAGAAGTCTGTTAATGAAGTGATGGAGTGGATGAATAATGTCATGAATGCTCAGGCTAAGAAGAGTCTCGATCAGGATCCAGTTGTACGTGCTCAGGAAATTAAAACAAAAATCAAGGTGAATGTTAACTTTCACGTTTACTGCTGGGTTCTCTTATGGGCTTGAGTCTTATTAAACAGTCATTTTTCCTTATCCTGACAGACCATTTTTTCTCAGTGTATTATTGTATCACAAAAGATAGAAGATCTCATAAGTTTCTGTTGATTTTTCATTTCTTCATTTAGTCAGTTCAACAGATATGTTCGTTGAGCCCCTGTCACGTGCCAGCCATTGTTCTCAGGGTTAAACATTCAGTGTACAAGTCCCTGCCCCTGTGGGTTACATTCTAGTGGGCGAGAGACCAACAGTAAACAAGTATGTGTCATGTATCAGGTGGTGTTAGTGCTGCGGGGGAAAATAAAGTAGGGGGAAAAGGATTTAGAAAATTCTAGGCTGTGGAGTGCAGCCAGGTTGGTATTTATCAAGGAAGGCCTTGATCAGTGTGTGAGAGTTGAAGGAAGTTGGAAATGCTCTCTGTCTGGAATGATATTCAGACACAATGAAAGTCAAGGAAAAGTGGACCTTTTAAGCTACTATCATTTTGAAGCTATAAACATGCATTCCAGCTCTTTGCTCACAGTTTTCCTGATCTTGAAGTTATTTAACTTCTGTGAACCATGTTCCTGTTGTGAGGATTAAAGCAGGGTACCTAGCAAGTCCTTTGACACATCCTAGACTATTCTCTTCTCATTTGGTCAGGCTTAAAGCTATGGTTTTAGGCAAGTATTAGGAGAAATTAGAATTCTTTGATGTATAATTGGAGTTGGTAGAAAAACATTGGGTGAGGTACATGAGGAAGTTGAAAATGAACTGGGTGGATCTGAGTTAATCCGATAACTTGTTTTCTTTAGGAATTGAACAACACTTGTGAGCCTGTCGTAACACAACCCAAACCAAAAATTGAGTCACCCAAACTGGAAAGAACTCCAAATGGCCCCAATATTGATAGAAAGGAAGAAGATTTAGAAGGCAAAAATAATTTCGGTGCTGAACCTCCACATCAGAACGGTGAATGTTACCCTAACGAAAAGAATTCTGTTAATATGGACTTGGACTAGATAACATTAAATTGGCTTATTCCTTCAATTAATAAAATATTTTTGCCATAGTATGTGATTCCAACATAACATACTGAGACTATTTATATTTTCTTTTTTAAGGATGTTTAGAAATTTTGTGTATTATATGGAAAAAGAAAAAAGCTTAAGTCTGTAGTCTTTATGATCCTAAAAGGGAAAATTGCCTTGGTAACTTTCAGATTCCTGTGGAATTGTGAATTCATACTAAGCTTCTGTGCAGTCTTACCATTTGCATCACTGAGGATGAAATTGACTTTTGTCTTGGAGAAAAAAAAAAACTGTACTGCTTGTTGAAGAGGGCTGTGATTAAAATCTTTAAGCATTTGTTCCTGCCAAGGTAGTTTTCTTGCATTTTGCTCTCCATTTCAGCATGTGTGTGGGTGTGGATGTTTATAAACAAGACTAAGTCTGATTTCCTAAGGGCTTTCTAAAATCAGTTCTGTCCAATAGAATGTGATTTTTTGCTTTGATATTAAAAATTCAATGAGTAAAACAAAAGCTAGTGAAATGTGTTAGCAGCATGCAGAACAAAAACTTTAAAATTATCTCTCACTATACAGTACATTGTCACGTGAAGGTGTGAAATGGAAGAAATGTTGATCCTGTTGTAACTAATTGTGAAAACTTTTATGAGCTTTAAAATAAAGTTCATCTTATGCTGTCATTTCTAAACTGTTAGTTTTGTCACTGATTTAAAAAGAGACTGGGGAGAAGAATGTTAATTATTGTAGCAGAAGTGAAGTTAGTGTGAAAATCTAATTTTCCTTTTGCTGCTTTATACATGCTATGTCTTTCTTAAGTGAAGATGGCTTCCTCCTGACGGAAAAGTAGCAAATGTTTATTACATTAAAACATTATTTAAATACTGTGAAGTCAATAGAACTTAAAGTTCCACCACCCAGGAAAACAAAACATTTTGTTGCATATCCTTCAAGCCTTTAGCCCCTAATGGTGGGTCATATCCATGTGAGCGTATGTTATATACAGTGTTGGCTGCTTTTTTAAAACTATATTATCAGGGAAATTAGTAATTGTAGTCAGGTGTTGCAACTGCGCAGCTGTAGTGAATATCATTATAAAGACATACTTAAGAATTTTATACGATATCCACTATTGGTGGATTTAAGTGTTTCTCAAGTTTTTGCTCCTCCAAATACTGCTGCAGTGAATCTTATGTATCTGGTTATTTTCTAAGGACAAAATCGAAAGTGTTTGTGGTGGGGTGGGTTGAAAATGTGTGCTTAGAGTAGGTGACAAGTAACCATCTACCATCTAGGGTGTAGCAGTTTCTAAAATGAGGGCCACCTTTCCCTTAAGGAGGAGGGATCAATCTTTTAACTGTAGCCAATCTAGTATAATACTACTCTTTAGCTACTGTATGCCAGGTACTTCACAGAGAGATTTAATCTTCAAAGCAAACCAGGAGGTTTAATAATTTACAAGATCACACAGGAAGTATCAGTTGGGAAAATAAACACCAGCTGTCAACTTACTCAACTTTTAAAGCACACGCTCTAATCCTAGACTAGGTAGCTTGTGATTTGTTTGATATGTACTTCAGCGTTTGAAAATTTGCCTATTTTTTGTGAATTGCATGTTGTCCTCATTCCCATTTATAATACTGGAATGTTTATATAAAATGTTCTTATTAAGGATCTTAACCATTTGTCAGCTATTCAGCATTTTCCTGCTTTATAATTTAACTTTGGTTTATCATTTAGAAGCTTTAAATTTGTAATCTGTCTCTTTTAGGTTTTTTCTTAAGTTATCTGAGTTTTTTTAGTGCACACTAATGTTCACTCAATAGGTGTGCATTTGCCCATTGAGAGATGAAGATAGCTTAGTGTTATGTGTGTGATTGGGAAGTGCATAAAAAAGATAAATGAATGGGAAAACTTCCTTCTACCCCAAAATAGAACTTGATAATAGAGGAAACATCAGTTTTGCCTAAATCAGTCTTTTTATTAAATGAGAGAAGTTTTCGTAGCATCACTTCTGTGAAGATGAATCAGTATTTAAAAAAAAAAAAAAAATGGCTCAACTGGCTATAGTTAGTCTGGAGACCTCAACTGCATTTTTGGATGTGGGAAAAATAGTCATGTTGATTATAATACATATTAATATGATTGGTTCAAGTAATTGTGGTACATACCTGGTAATCACCTAGAATCCCCGAGACATGCACCAATTTGGATAAATGCTTTTTTTTAAGAATTGAATTTTATATTTTAACTTGAATTGTTACTTTGACAGTATTTGTTAGTGTCCAGTTGTTTTAGTAACCAATAATGAGTAGAATTGAACTATGAGTCTAGTTCATCAGAAATGATGGTTATGTCTGAGCTATGATTAACTTTTCTTGGGTGAAATCCCCAATGTTTACTTTTTTATTGTCTTTGATTATTTAACAAAAAGAAGGGCATCACCGTGTATAATTAATGTGGTTATTATTACCTCCTTCTACAAAATAGCCTATTGAAAGTTAGTTTCTGAAAGGCCAAAAATTAAACTAGCTGCTGTGATCAGTGACTTAATTTTTGTAAGCAGCATTCGAGTATTTTTTCTACAGTATTATGACTTGTCAATTTATATCCAGACTTCTTTCTTGCCTGTGGTATTGGATTGCTGTGGAGGAATATCTCACTATCTTTCATATGTAATCAGCACAGAACAATTACATCATACTTTTCTGGAGAGATTGAGTCTTAGAGAATATTTGAAGAGGGGTTGACTTTCTCCAAGTTCTGAGTAATTTGGGTATGGTTAAGCTCTTCTAAGTGGTCAGGATGATGGGAAATGTTCTTCTATGCTATGTTTTTCTCATAGTGGTCTAGCTTTGTTAGCCTTGGGGACTTGCTAAAAGATAAACAGAACTAGTTAATTTTGAGTGTATTAGCATGTGGTTTGTAAATAAAAAGTGTAGGTGACATCTTCAAAAACTCTAGGATAATTAGCTTTTCCAGTCCCTAGTGGTTTCATTTTCTTAGAATTGTGGTATAGCATGGGCCTCTTAGCAGTTCTTATTCTGCTTAAGGGCGGGTGGCAGGCAGTATGATAAGTGGAAAGAACACCTTTTTTGGTAGGAAAAAATTGTTTCATGTCAAGGGTCCAAACAATGCTGCCCCATAAGCACCATGGTTTTAGGCTGATCATCCAAACGGATTCTCTGAATCCCTATTTTCTCATCCAAATCTACATAGCCTTGACTGGGCCTGTCTCTGCCATTGTGGTTTCCTCTAGGGCACAGTTTCTTGACTTCGGCAGGATTGACATTTGGGGCTGGACTCCATTGTTGTGGGGCTGTCTTGTGCCTTGCTCAATGTTTAACAGTATCCCTGGCCTCTACCCATCTGATGCTGGTAGCACCCCCCATCCGGGTGTCTGTCCCTTGAGAACCACTGCTCTAGGGGAGTGACTTTGAACTTCAAAATAACGCACAGAAAAGTGTGTTACTGAATGCCTTCCAGTGGTTCAGCACTGTGCTAGGTGCCCTTGCTCAGGCTTCATAATAAACCTCCCAGGAGGGTGTATTATTTCCCCATTTTACAGGTGGGAAAATGGGGTGAAAGTCTGACCAAGTTAAAAAGTTGATTAGGACTTAGGTCTGACTGATTCCAAAGCCCATGTTCTCTCTGGTGGTAGAGTGGTAAAAGTTGACCAGCATTGTCAAAATGTACTTTTATCATCATTGAAAACTCTTCATGGGAGGACTCAAAAATCTGTCTTCTGAGATTATTTATAAAATTCAGTCATGTTAAAATTTTACTTTTTTTTCACCAGGTTATATCCAGTTTTCTAAATCCATGCTTATATGTAACACCAAAGCTTTTCTTTACCAAATGCAGATTCTTAAACCTGGTTGAGACCAGTATTTTTCTTTAAAAAAAAAAAAAAAGGAAAAAATAGAATGAAACAAAGTAACAATGCATCATATGGAGGCCAGGTGAAGATTGTGTTTTGATGCTTTTACTTGATAGGCATAAATATGCACCTGGACTTACTGAAGATTGTGTCCAAAAATGTTTGAGAGGTATCGACTTAGACAATTGCAATTGTTCATTTAAAAACCAAAAAAACCCCCGAAAGCTTGCCTTTTCATTGAGCATTGGACTAGAAACTGATTATCAATATTAGTTGCATATTAGAATTTCCGATTAATTTTAAAAAATACCAACATCCACTGTCAGAGATTCTGATGTAATTGATCTGGGCTGGGACCTGGGCATCAGCATTTCAAAAGCTCCTTCGGGGAGTCTAATGCTCAAGCTCAAGAACCACAGGGCTGTTGACTATTCCGTGTGGGTACATTTGATGTCTCAGCTCTAAGAATTTGAGGTTTCCGTTTCTGAGCATTGATGATCTATTCCGTAGATAAATGGTTGATATGCTCATCCATTTGCACTTGCTCTGTCCTGAGCCTTTTCATATTGGCTATAGATGTTCAAGTCTCATTTGTTGTTACCCAAATTCTTTATACCTTTCCTTTTGCCTCTCACTAGAGGAATTTTGAGATTGATGCAAGATGGCTGCTGCACTTTTCCACAGGTCTGTGTGCTTCATTGTGTTGGCTTCTGTATTCATCACTGAATGCTGGAGTCCTGTTAAGAATGAGCCTCTCTGCAGCCAATTGAATGGTGGCAGTTAGAGGATCTCACTGTTGTATTAATAGTACACTGTTGGGCTGGTGCTTTGGGGGTCCTCCCCGCTTCACCCCCAGCATCCTCTGCACAGACACATACACCATCCCAGAGATTTCCTACCAATGTGTCCCTTTTAGTTGTTTCTGCCTTTTATTATTATTAAAAGTACAGAGAATCAGGAAACAATCCCTGTGTGCCCAGTCCTGAGTAGGAAATTAAGTGGTTGCATGGCTTTCAAGTCAGACCTACTTGGTTTTACATTCTGGCTCCATTTTCACAATCCAAATGGCCTTAGCATTAATCTACCCAGCTGGTTTCCCCTGTAAAATCAGTTTCTGCCTCTACAAGGTGGTAGTTGGAGATTTAAGGAATTTGTGCACAGTAGGTCTTTCATGATCTTGGCACGGAGTGGCCACTCTGAACGTTTGCTATGGCGATCACTGGGGAGCTGCCTCCTCGCCCATCTCCTAGTAGTTGGCTTTCTTCCCTGGTGTCGGCATTTGCTCTTTTACTCCTTGCGTGCATGCACACGCACACGCACACATGCTGACTTTTCATTTCCCCCCTTTCGTATTTTCTGTGAAAGTGTGGCTTTTAAAATAGACATCGCCAGGCAGTCAGGGCACGCCTTTCTTCCTGGCGGTGACCCAGCCAGCTGCTGTGGGGTCTGTTTATTATCGCTGGGTGCTCAGGCTACCTCTTGGCTGCTCATTTCTGGGTTTGGGAACATTCGAAAGCTGGAGGGTGCCAACATCGTCTCTGGAGAATCATGACTTCACAGTCTGTAAACGCAGGACAATATTTTCCCAGTCCAGGGATATAGTAAGATGTCATGATTTATGAACTGTTTGGTTTTACTAACATAAGAAAACTTCTTTGAAAGAGTCATTTAATGATATCTCTTTCCCTTCAAACAACCACAAATACCAGACCAGCATTCTTCTTTTTTAAAATGTTCCCGCCTTTTGATTTGGAAAGGTGGAAAGAATAGTGCAGTGAACGTGTGGCCAGACACCAGGACGCTCGGCCCTG